AAGCCATTTTGTGAATGGGGAGCTACTGATTGGCTTAGAGCATCAGCTAATGCTCTCAGCCAACCAGGTGAGCCCCTGTCTGAGGCACTCTCTTTCAAGAATCTCAGAAGCAGATCTAAACAGCTGTGGATTTAAAACTTAGGGGTTAAACAGTTTGTGAACGATTTAATACCCAAAGGTAAGCCGGTGCCATTGTCCTCGTGGATCCATAACTTTATTGCTTCAATTTTATGTAACAGTTATGTTCCCTTGGAGTTTTGTGGGCGCTTTATATTAACCTAGGCAAAGCTCTGTTAGTGGTGCATTCACTATATACACGGATGCTAGGACAGTTCAACAGGTGTGCCAAATCTGAGAACTTCAGATACTGTATTTCCTTATACAAGTTACAATCCTGGTTTAATATAGATGTATGTAGCAGTGCCTTCTTTGTTTCTTGTAGGTGTCATTTACGTTTTGCTAAAAGGAACTCTAAAGGCATCTAAACAACTTAAGCTTAAAGAAGCAGTTTGTGTGTATAGATCATGCCTCTGCAGTCTCACTGCCAGTAAGGAGTTAAATATCTGATTTCTGTTAATGCAGACCAGACTACACCTCCCCTGTCTATGACTCACACAGCCTGCATGAAAAAAAAAAAAGGTTTAATTTTCGATCAGATGTTAACAAGTTTTATAATCTTTTTTTATCTTCTGCTCTGTAAATGTAAGTTTAATCACACACAGGAGGCACCGGCATGATCTAGAAGACTATTCACAGTGCAGGAGATAAACTCTAAGTTTAACAGACTGTGCAATAAAGGAAGTGTAAACATTAGATCTTACTTTATAGGAAGTGTTTAGGAAGGCTGTGCAAGTCACATGCAGGGAGGTGAGACTATGGCTGCATAAATAAATGATAAACTCCTAAAATGGCAGAGAATTGAGCACTACGAATGCAGGGGCATGATTTATTCCACAGTGCTTTTAGAATTATAAATTATTCACGCAAACATATAAGGAGAAAATGTTACAGCGTTTAGGGGGATATTCACTAAAGTCCAAAAGGTCTACGAACCAAATGGGGTTAAAACATTCTTGCTGCATATGACTACTTGGACTGTAAAATCAGGACATTGATGATGGAATTCCTCAATGTCTGGTTTTTGTAATTCAGGCCTGTATATGGTCCAGATTTCAGCTGGGACAAAAAAACAGCTGAACAGCTGAAGTCTGGTCTCAGTGTGGCAAATCCAGCTCTTCCATGGAAATGTTACTTTACAGTAAGTGTTTAGGAAGGCTGTGCAAGTCACATGCATCTATATAGCTAATCTGCTAAGCATCACACTGGATAAGAAAAACATTCAGAATTCAATGAACATATTTGCAAATATTTTAGGATTGTGTGTGACCAGACTTCAGCCAGGCCACACTCCACCAGACGGCTGAGTTATTTTTTTTCTATTATTACTTTAAAATTGATTTAAAACCAATCCATATGCATTATACCTTTCTAAATTGAACTCTGCATACAGATAATTTTCCAAGTGTTGCAAGGCGAAATATACTTTGGCTTTGATTTCACTGCAAATGAAAGTATATTAGTGAAAAGAAAGGGGGGTGGGGTGGGGGAGGAAGGCAGGGTGACATGGGGTTAAATATGATTTGTGAATGAATATAAAATACCTATCTCCTGAAACTTTGTATAAACTTAAAAGTCCTTCAAGATGTATGCCAAAGGTCGCAAAATCCTTTGATCTATAAAAATGAACATATACATTAAGGAAAAAGTCCCACTTTAAAACAAATTTAAACAATTTTACTGAATTCCCATAAAGAAGTGTGACAAAATGTACGCTATCAAAGAGTAATGCATTTTGATGAACAGCTTGAAGCTTATGGCCATGACATGCATTTAAATCCTACATGAACAAATTTATGTAGAATTACATCATGAAAAATAGGGCTACAGCTGCAGGCACAGATTAACACAATTGGTCTTTCAACAATATTCTCCAAGCTGAATAAAGTTCCCCCCACCCCCTCTCTATTTCTCACACAATCACACCATGAACATACAACTTGATGACTTATCGAATTATAATTTTTTTTGCTAGAGAAGCACTGCAGACACACAATGCTATTATCACGATGCCTGAAACGTCCTCACAAATATTGTTTTTTTTAATGGCAGGGGTGGCTAGAGTTCCACGCTAGCTAGTGTCAAATCAGTGCACCTTTAATTTATACCAGACTAAAATAGTTTTAGCTTTGTATACCTAAGCAGTGAGTGGGGGCCCTAAATAAAAAGTGGGGAGGGGGAGATCTATTGTCATCCCTCCAGCCCCCACCCCTGAGCAGCGAGTAGGGACCCTAAATGAAAATGTGGTGGGGGGGGGGACCTATTGTCCTCCCCCAGCAGCCACCCGTGAGTGCTGGGTAGGTGGGGGGCCCTAAATGAAAATGTTACCCCCAGGTGACTAAGGACCCCCAAGCCCCTAGTCACCCCCCCACCCAAAATTATTATTATTTTTTTTTTTTAAATCTACCTACCCCCTACACCCTAAAAATAGACAACAGGTACTCCCCCTTATTGTTATTTAGGGCCCCCACCTGCCATTCATGGGTGGGGGCTGGGGGAAGAACAATAGGTCCCCCCCTCACATTTTCATTTAGGGCCCCCACCCACGGCTCATGGGTAGGGGCAATAGGTCCTTCAGTTTAATAGCCCCCACTCACACGGCACGGGTGGGGGGATACTAGGGTGTTTTTTTTGTTTCTTTTAACAGTGGCAGCCACTGACTGCTCACAATTTAGTACACATGCCCCTACTCGCGATATAGCAAGATGGGGCAGAATTTACCAATACTAAATAATCTTTATTTAGTATTGGTACATTTGGCTGAAAGACCAATTTAGGTCCAGTGGCGTCTCTAGGATTCATTTTTAGGGGGGACTGCTGAGTACATACACACACACACACACACACACACACACACTACTGAGTCCACCCACACACACACGCTGCTGAGTCCACAGACACACACACACACTGCTGAGTCCACAGACACACACACACTTCCTCACTAGCAGACGCACACACACACAAGCATTTCAAGCCTACCTGTCACTGGAGGCTGTTGCTGGGGGTCAGACAGCCATCTTCTGGCCTTTCCAACAGCAGCAAGGTTTGCTGCTTAACGGCGGGGGCGGGGCGGGGCTTATGTGCGGGAGGCGGTGCTTCGTTTGGGGTCCAGGCCTCTGCCGGGGAAGCTGCTGAAAACACCCAGCAGCATTCTAGCTCCTCTTTCCTGCATTCCCTCGGGCTGTCACAGTCCGAAGGAAAAGAATGTAAACACATGGCCAGCAAGTTGCTGGCACTTAGGGGGGCACAAGGGCGGCACAGCATGATGTAGGGGGGCCATGGCAGCCTTTTGATAGATGACTGCCTAATACCGTGGGAATTAGGGAGTTATCTACTAAGCGGCTGCAAGATGCAGCCGCGGCACGAAAAGGATCGGAGTTTCATTCATTTGAATGTAATTCCGATCCAAACAAAGTCCTGAATTGCATCCTAACACGAATGGGGAAACTGTTCTCATTCTGTTAGAATGCTGGCAAAACTACCAAATTTCGTACTAAGTGACAGGATGTTCGGGAAAAGTGAAAGGAGGCTTCACGGGAACACGGAGGAAAAGTGAGAATTGTGGGAAAATTGCTCTGACCACCATTAATGAAGCACACTCTGCTCGTCCGCTGGTCAAAGTTGGTCAAGCATAGGAAACCTCCATAAGACAAACAAGTCCCTACTTTGTCTTATGTTTCAAAGAGAACGAAGCAGACAGGAAGAAATGAAGAACAGACCCTGACAGAGGAAGAGAAGAGGAATCGATAAAAAAAAAAAAAAAGGTAGGTTTGGCATGACCGTGCCGCTTTAAGTGTTATTAGAGAAAAATAAAATATGAATGAGGTTCAAATTTATCAAATGCCGTTAAAGGAACACAATAGTGTCAAGAATATAAAAAAAAAATTTAAAAAATTAAAAACACATTTTAGGTTGTGGCCCCCCTTGCCTGCTGTTTACACACGTTTATTCCAACGAAGTGCTGGTCAAGTTGCAGCTGGCTGCGCCCTGTTCCGCCTCCTTAGCAAAGATCACCATTAAATAATAAAGCCTGTAGGGGCAGGCTACAGACACCAGAACAACTATATTAACCTTTGATTTTTCTGTTTTGGCCTTCACATTCAGCTTCATTGGGCATATCAATTGCTTCTTTCAGCATATGCTTACCTACAAGAAGTATTGGATTGACACTACAGTCTCCAGAACTACAGCTTACTGAATTTGTTCTCGTGAGTAGAATCATTACCTCCAGGCTTTTTGCTGTAAACACTGTCTCTTCAGAGAAAATGCAGTGCTTACATTAAAGCCTAGTGATAACTCCACTAGCCACTTGAGGTGCTTACTGGCTATTCAGTGTCTCCACCCTCTGCATAGAGACACTGCACTTTCCTCATAAAGATGCATTGATTCAATGCATTTCCATGAGGAGATTATGATTGGCCAGGGTTGTGTTTGGTTTGTGCTGGCTCTGCCCCTGATCTCCCTTATTGACAGTCTCAGCCAATCCTATAGGAAAGCATTGTGATTGACAGAGAATTACTTCTCATGATGTCAGCCAAGCAGGCAGATCAGGGGCAGAGTCAGCAGCAGACTTGAAAAAAGTAAAATTTTGCTATAGTTAGATGGGCAAGTGGTGTGGGGTAGGAAGGTTAGATGGTTGTTTTAACACTATAGGGTGAGGAATACAGGTTTGTGTTCCTGACCCTATAGTATACTTTTAAGTTTGCTGTGCATGGGCCCTTTTCCCCAATGCTTCTCTATGTGAACCATTGAATAAGACATCCCCACCCCTAACCCACACCAATACATACGGTCATGCAAGCCGATTAAAATGAAGATGTGTGCTTCTTTTGTGTAATTGTAATGGAGATAATATTGTGTATGCAATCCATTTAAATTTACTACAGTGCATCTTTCACGTTCCATGCCATCAAAAAACCTGCAAACACTGGAATATTAGAATACCTGATAAGTTGGACCATAACATCTGATTCCTAGGGGAAAGAAAAAATAAATAAAAAAAATATATATTTATATCTATAAAAAGTCTAGAACGATCACTCAAACCAAACTTTGACAGGCTTTACTAAGATGTAAACAATAGTTCAATAAGGGACACTCCAGGCACCAAGACCACTTCTGCCCATTGGAGTGGCCTGGGTGCCAGCTCCTATCACCTGTTAACCCAAGTGTAATTATTACAATTTTTATAAACTGCAATAATTACCTTGCAGGGTTAAGTCCACCTCTACCAGACAGCCACTAGAGGGACTTCCGGGTTCTTAAAACCCCCAAAAAGTGTATTAAACTACGCTGGACGTCCTCACACTATGCACGAGGGCCTCCAGCGTCGCCGGAATCCCCATAGGAAAGCATTATTCAATGCTTTCCTATGGGGAGGTCTAATGCGTGCACATGGCCATGGGCTGAGCCTGACCCAGCACAGAGGGACATCGGCGCTGGATTCAGGTAAGTCACTGAAGGGGTTTTAACCCCTTCAGCAATGTGGGGTGGGAGGGAGAGGGGCACTGCAGGATTCTGCAGTGCCAGGAAAACTGATATGTTTTCCTGGCACTGGAGAGTCCCTTTATGCTAGTGTTGTGTTGAAAGTTGCAACTATCCTACTGTATACAATGTAATATCTTCAAGGGAAGTCAAAGTAGCAAACACATATTACAAATGCTTTTCAGTTAAAGGCACGTGGAGGGTATTTCATACAAAGTAACAGAATGAATTTGTCACGTGCAAATGTTTTACTCACTTTTATAAATCTGAGATGTACAAAACAGAAGTGGAGATGGAGAGACAGGCCCCAAAGGATACATTTTGAAATAGAAAATAAGTGGTTACGATGCCCATAATATTTCTTGAATTTGGAAATTGAACAAGGCCACCATCCCCTCCCCTCTAAACCAAAAGTTCCTGTTCCTGGCTTTTGGATCTTTGTTCAATGTAGTTTTGTCAGGCTGCGTGGAACAGAACATCAAGACAAGCAAGGCTGTGGGACAGACAGTAGTAGCTGCTCTATGTACACCCCAACCGCATAAACTCGTGTCAGATCTATGACTAGGTCTGGAGTGGTGCAGAATATGGCGCCTCCGTTCCATGCCTCCATGTGAAGGAGCCACCAGTGAAGCTCGTATCATTGTCTAGAGTCCGCATATCCTCGTAAGAATAATAATCGTGCAGAAGTTCATTTATTTCAGTAATGCAGCAAACGCGCCTGACCTGAACCCCATAGAGAATCTATGGGGCATTGCCAAGAGAAAGATGAGACATGAGACCGAACAATGCAGAAGAGCTGAAGGCCGCTATTGAAGCATCCTGCTCTTCCATAACACCTCAGCAGTGCCACAGGCTGGTAGCTTCCATGCCACACCGCATTGAGGCAGTTATTGCTGCAAAAGGGGCCCAAACCAAGTACTGAGTCCATATGCATGCTTATACTTTTCAGAGGTCTGATATTGTTCTATGTACCCTCCTTGTTTTATTGATTGCATGTAATATTCTAGTTTACTGAGATTGTGGATTTGGGGTTTTCATGAGCTGTAAGCCATAAAATCATCGCACTTATGACAAGTCACGGCTTGAACCATCTTGCTTTGCATGTAATGCGTCTATCTCATATTAGTTTCCCCTTTTACGTTGCATTACTGAAATAAATGAACTTTTGCACGATATTCAAATCTTTCGAGTATCACCTGTACAATCGCTGAAGAACCTGATGGTAAAGAGTGCCCGGAAATATAGCATGTATAGATGCGGCCAGAAGGCATATCAGTCATGTCAGGTGTTAGCGAAAGTGTTGAGTTCGATAATTTTGAACCTGACATTCAATAATTTAGTCACCAGAATATGCAGGGTCTGGTAAGTGGAGTCAATAAGACCCAGAAATTCGATGCGTTGAATGGGAATCAGGATAGATTTTTCCCAATTAACAAGAAAACTTAGATTCTGAAATAAGGTCGAAGTCCAAAACAGATGAGTCTGAAGAAGGTGGGCGGAATAAGCTAGAATTAAAATGTAATCCAGATTAAGGATTAGACACAGTCCTCAACTTCTTAGTATGGCGACCACAGGTTTCAGTGAGCTTGGTGAAGTACCATGGAGCAGAGGACAGACAGAATGTGAGGCACCAGAACCTCCATTTCCAACCTTGCCATGTAAATTGCAGCAAAATTTGATGACAGTCTGCAATAGGCACTGTGAGGTAGGAGTCCTGCAGATCCAACTTAGCCATCCAGTCCAAGGGTTGAAGTAAGTCTCACAAGCAATGTACACCTTCCATCTTGATTTGGTGGTAAGTCACATAATGTTTGGGGTTTGAGATTTATCACTGGTCAGACACAACCTCCCTTTTTGGAAACAAAAAAAATTGCTTACGTAACTGAGTATGGGTTAGAATCTTAATGTTTGTGCACCAATTCTTGAATCTCCTTGGAAACAAAGTCTGTGCCTCATTGGGGGGGGGGGAAAAATGGGTAAAACATTGGGGGAAAAAACATAGGCAGAGAAATTTGAATCTATGTAATAAGCGTTGACAGCTTGAAGAAACCCAAACATGAGGGACCATACATTAGGAAAATGGGTGAGTCAGCCCCTCACTCCATTGGCATTGAGTAAGAACGGTGATTGTTTGCACTTACTGTATATACTTAAACTATAATATACATTTCATTTTATATATTGTAAAAATGTTATCATGGCACTTTTATGTAATCTGTAGTCAGAATTAGGAAGTGTTCAGTTTGTCTATACTTTTTTGGAGTTAAGGCATGATCAAGTGTGGCTCCAAGGTGCAAATATAGTTGACTTAAACTTGCAGTAGGTTAGAAAAAAAAAAAGTCACGTTATCAAGAGTATTGCTCCAGTAAACCCCTTTGATGTGGGGCAGCATAGTATGGAGGAAATTGTATTAAATCTACACGAAAGTGGGATCAGATGTGAACATCTGTTCTTCAAGTGTATGTATCTGGTGGGTAAAAAAGTCAGTACAGTCCAGGACCAACATGTTACCACGTTAACTCTAGTCACTGGATTAATTTGCAGTCTAAATAGCTCCCCCCTTAAATAACTGCAATTTTACAAAAACAAAACAAAACAAAACAAAAAAAGAAACTGTAGGTGACAGGTCCACTTGTAACAATGCTTTTTTGACCATATGGTTAACAATTAATATTACCCTAGGAACGTCCCCATGATGAGCCACCTTTACAAAATCTACATATCCATTTTTCTTCATTTGAATTTCAACATAAAACATTTCTGATGTAATGTAGCAAACTGTTCCACTGGGGCCAATATGGGATTCCAACCTGTTAGACAAAAAAAAAAAAAAAACAGTTTCCAAATTATTTTCCACTTTTAAGTCCAAGAAAAAATTAATAAAAAGAAGTTAAATCAACAAGACCATTTACAAGGATTTTTTTTTTTCAGTTTATTGAATTACCTTTTCTTTATCAAACTAGATCTGAAAATGTTTTCTTTACTAGCAGTTCACAGCAGCATTTTTATATGCATATCCCGTTGTGTTCCCAATAAAAGTATGTAATATAAGGCTGAAATCAACAGTTGCAATGTACAATTGTGAATGTGTGCAAAAATGTACAATATATTTATGTAGCTAATGCATTTTTTAAAAAATATTGCTTTAAAAAAAATAAAAAATAAAAAAAAATAAAAAAACAACTTACCTTTAACGTGCCCCTCTAACTCCAAGATGAGACTCTCCAAAGAGAAGAGAGTCATTCGGTTTTATGGGACACTGGCTGTGTCCCATAAACTGCTATCCAGCAAGGTTTTACCAGATAAGTAGTTCATCCCTCACCTACACTTCCAATAATCACTTAAGATGAATGGAACTCCTTATAAACTCATTGTAAATGGATACTATGTGAAATGGTCATTATTGGAAAGCCCTCAGACTATGCATGTGCAATCTATGGTTCAGCTTTCTCGGACACCAATAATCAGCGAACGGCTATTAAGTAATCAAAGATAGGTCGGAGTCCACATTTACAGTAAAGTGACCCTCCCTGCAGATCTGAGAGGGTTTCTTAATGATAGCAACTGCAAATGACAGCTGCTAGCCAGAAATGCAGTTTCCACTAATTTTGGACGGGGACATGCATGTCCCTGCGATGCCATGTATGAGAACCTACCGCACAGTACAGGATTTGAAAACTATATCTGACTTTTCAAATTGGACAATAATTTAAAATGCATGTGCATATGTGTCAGAGTGACTTTTCATATACTGCACCCCCTTCCCCTATCTCCCTCTCCCCCCCACTCACAAAGCAATATGGCATTAAGTTGCATCAATTCTTGCACCAAGACAAAGTATTCCTAGTTTCTGATCCTCCCCAGCTGATGTTACCACCTTACTGAAGCATGTTAGAGAGGGGGACTGTGCTGCAATTGGATGTCTTGCACCAGCAGAATGGCATCAGATGCCTAATTTGCACATAATTCACATTGGCTAACTTGGAACTCTTGTTAGAGGGAGTAATCCCATGTTGTGTCTTTATTTCTTTTGTTTTTATTGAAAGTTTTTTTCAACAGTGTAAATTATAACGGTGGTTTCTGTACAATTTGACAATTCAAGTATCAAATGTGCTTTAGTTTTTCAGAGTTTCTACACAATCAATAACACAAATTAGTGACATTGAGCATTATTACAGTACATATGATACAGAAATGTCATGATGAAACTTATCCAAAATGTGGAAAGCAGCTGGACTTGATGGTCTTAACACTTAAAGCGAACATACCTTTCCTCAATCGCTTCCTCTTCTCTCCCTCTCTCAGGATCTGTTCTTCATTTCTTCCAGTCTACTCTAGTTTTCTAAAAACATAAGACAAAGCAGGGATTAGTTTGTCTATGTATTTTTCCTGCGCTTGACCAGCTTTGACCCAGGGGAGGAGCAAAGTCCGTTCCATTTCCTGTGGTTCTCACCTTTCTCCTGCTGCTTCATTTGTCATTCGAACGCTGGCAAAATCTCAGAATTTTGTCCTAACAGAATGAGAACAGTTTGTTCTTGTTAGGATGCAATTCGGGAGTTTTTCTTCGTATCGGAATTTCATTCAAATGAATGAAACTCCGATCCTATTCATGCCGTGAGTAGATCGCTCCCTAATTCCCACAGTATGAGGGAGCTATATACTAAGTAAAGATTACTTAGTAATTAATCTGCCCCTACTCGCTATAATGCGAGTAGGGGCATATCTACTAAACAGCCAGTGGCTGCTCACTGTTGTAAAAAAACACCCCCACTACTTTAATAAAGTGACCCTTAGTGAGGCACCTATAAAAATAATTAATGGAAAGACAAAGTGTCCCCCCCTCCCCAAGAGTGGGGGCCATTAAACTAGACAGGGGACAGTGGCGTACACATGACCCAGGGGCCCCGGTGCGAAAATTGATCCGTGGGCCCCCCCCCCCAGCGCGCGGGCCGGGCCGCAACACATGGCGGTGGGCACCTGGTCGCAGGGGTTACAGGGCTGCGACCCCTGTGACCGCGGTATGTACACCAGTGCATGCAGATGCACACACACTTAAAGGACCACTCTAGGCACCCAGACCACTTCAGCTTAATGAAGTGGTCTGGGTGCCAGGTCCAGCTAGGGTAACCCATTTTTTCATAAACATAGCAGTTTCAGAGAAACTGCTATGTTTATGAATGGGTTAAGCCTTCCCCTATTTCCTCTAGCGGCTGTCTCATTGACAGCCGCTAGAGGCGCTTGCGTGCTTCTCACTGTGATTTTCTCAGTGAGAGCACGCCAGCGTCCATAGGAAAGCATTATGAATGCTTTCCTATGTGACCGGCTGAATGCGCGCGCAGCTCTTGCCGCGCGTGCGCATACAGCCGACGGGGAGGAGAAGAGGAGGATCGGAGGAGGAGAGCTCTCCGCCCAGCGCTGGAAAAAAGTTTTATTTTCCCCTTTCCAGAGCCGGGCGGGAGGGGGTCCCTGAGGGTGGGGCACCCTCAGGGCACTATAGTGCCAGGAAAACGAGTATGTTTTCCTGGCACTATAGTGGTCCTTTAAAGGACCACTACAGACACCCAGATCACATCAGCTCAATGAAGTTGTCTGGGTGTCAGGTCCCTCTAGTTTTAACCCTGCAGCTGAAAACATAGCAGTTTCAGAAAAACTGCTATGTTTCACTGAGGGTTAATCCAGCCTCTAGTGGCTGTCTCACTGACAGCCGCTAGAGGAGCACACTGAACGTCCATAGGAAAGCATTGAGTAATGCTTTCCTATGGGCGGTTTGAATGCGTGCGCGGTTTCATTCGGAGCTGAGAGGCTGAGGGATCCCCAGCGCCAAGAGAGTCCGGTGCTGGAGAAAGGTAAGTGCTGAAGACACACACACTCTCATTTACAGACGCATACACACTAGCTAACAGAGACACACTCAGCGACAGACATACACACACACACACTTACAAAACATACACTCTCATTGACAAACACACACTCACTAACAGACATCAAACAGACTCACTAAGACACACACACTAACACTCACTCTAACACTAACACTCACTCAAACTCACTCTAACACTCACTCAAACTCGCTCTAACACTCACTCAAACTCGCTCTAACACTCACTCTAACACTCAAACACTAATACGTTTTTGTTTGTTTTTTAAATGTAATCCCCCCTTACCTTTTGGAGTGCTGGGGGGATTCCCTGGGGTCCAGTGGTGCTGCTGGGCTCCTGGGCGGGTGGCCGGTCGGGCAGGCAGGCGGGCGCGTGAGAGAATCACTTACCATTAGAAGGCTTCTAAAACTTTTTTCAGCCCCCAAAAAGGCACTATAAAAATCATAATTCTCCTCCAATTTATAAAATAAAGAATCCTGACACTTAAAAATTAATCCATCTTCACCCAGCGAGCTCCGCAAGGTGGGGAAAGGCTTATACAGCCTTAATACGCCCTGCAATTTGACTCAGAGTGCTCAAATTGGTTGTTTTAAGAGTGCTGTGATAGGTAAATCTTAAGCTTGCAGGTAACCAATCACAGCACTCTTATTAGTTGGCTTTTTTAGTTTGGGATTTTTTTTGGTGGGAGTGGTCATTTTTTTATTTTATAAATTCGGCGTAAATTATGGATTTTTATTTGGCCTTTTTTGGGGCTGAAGAAAGAAGACTTCTAATTGCAAGTATGATTTTTTTTTCGCCCCCAAGTATTTAGTTTTATTGTTTCCCCCCCTCACTATTTTTAGGGTGAGGGGGGTAGGTAGGCTTTTATTTGAGGGGGTTACTAGGGGCTTGAGGACCCCTAGTCACATTGGGGGGTAATTTTTACATTTCGCCCAATCCATCACCCATCACCTATGGGTGAGTGGACAACAGGTCCCCCTATTGTATTTTAGGGTCCCCACCCACCACGCATGGGTGGGGACAGACAATAGGTCCCCCCCCCCCATTGTATTTCAGGGTCACCAATTATTTTTATAGGTGCCCCAATAAGGAGCACTTTATTAAAGTAGAGGGGGGTGTTTTTTTACAACAGTGAGCAGCCACTGGCGAGTAGGGGCAGATTAATTACAAATACGAAGTAATCTTAACTTAGTATTTGTAAATTTGGCTAAAATACCAATTTGGGTCTTTCAGCCTTTTTGTAGATAGCTCCATAACAGTGTGGGAATTAGAGAGCCATCTACTCGTAGCATGAATAGGATAGGAGTTTAATTAATTTGAATGAAATTCCGATCCAAACAAAAACTCCCGATTTGCATCCTAAGACGAATGGACAAACTGTTCTCATTCTGTTAGGGCAAAATGTGCGTAGGAAAAACACATAAGACAAAATAGCCCCTACTTGGTCTTATGTTTAAAGAAAACTAGAGCAGTTTGGAAGAACTGAACAGATCCTGAGAGAAGGAGAGAAGAGGAAGTGATTGAGAAAAGATGTGTTTCGCATTACAGTGTGCTTCTTTGGTTTTTTGTTTTTGTTTGTTTTTTAACCTGTGCCAAACAATACCAATCCCACTCAAGAGCCTTAGTTTCCCCTTCGGATTTAAGTTTTCAATCATTTATTGGAGGATCTTGTGGTCCTACTATAATTGTACATTTTGAGAAAGCCCAAAAGATTGACAGGAATGGAAATTCCATTCATACTTACTCCAGGTTTTTGATTGCCAGGACTCAATAGATAGCCCTGGAAGTGGCTGATATGGGGGGATGCCCTGCCTGCTTTGTTGTGATTGGACAGGCAGCGTATACCACATTACTTACACATACATACAAATTGGTTCCACACTGAAGGTTCTTGCTGGAGTCGCCATGTTCTCACGACCTCTGTGGGGAATATTTTCACGCTTCCCACACCATTGAGCAGACAATTCCAGAACTAAAATGTATTCTTAGAGAAAAAGAATTCTAACACTTTCATACCAGACAGCATGTCAGAATATTCTGGGATTTACCAAACTCTTCAAGAAACGGGTAAAACTGCAAGTCTATTAGATTTTCAAGTTTAACTGAATAGGTTCTTATAAAATGCATTAAATAAGTCTTACCCTTTTTGCTTGGACATAGATTCTATGCAGTTCATAACATCAGACAAGGATTTTGCTAGAAATGAATAATAAAATAAATAAAAAGTATTTGTATCAGTTATGCAAATATGACATGGTGGCACCTTGGTTATTGATCTTTGGCCAGCACAAAGTATAGTTTTCATTTTAAGACTGATTGTGTCGACAGGGGAAACCAAGAAAATAAAAGGCTATTCTGTTACTTCTGTAATTTTGTAAATTTTAGAATTCAAGCATGTAGTCAGAAATCAACTTTTATGCAAACACCACAAATTCAGTTAACACTTTCACCTCTCACAGAGGCTCTATTGTATATAATCCATTCACACTTCCAAACTATAAGTGCTAGATTTATATCATACATTCTATCTTCTGCAAGGTGTAAAAATGGCTGTATATCCCCTCTAGGAGGTATCAGTGATAAAACCTTACCTTTCACACGAGTCTGTAGCTTGTCCTTACATTTCAGCACTGGCTGACAGTAATGGGTCAAACAGTTTTTTATTGGCTTGTCCTAGAGGTGATACATCAAAAGCATGTGTAAAAAAAGAACAGACCAAAATCAAGTAGTTCATATTGCACTAGTCACTGAACTGAAGAAGCATGTTTAAGGTATACTCCAATTGCAAGTGCTTTACTGCAAGAACTTTGTATCTTAAACATGTAAACTACAATTCTTAAAAGGTCTATTTAAGGGCTGCACGTAAAACAAGAAATTGTACTGCAATTACCAGAAACCTCTGCTCCAAGTAGAACAGAAGCTGTGCAGAGAGATTTAAAATCTGCTAGACAGTACCAGCCTCTTGCTTGCTAGGCAAATAAACCACGCGTTTGACATATGCATTGGTGATTAACACAGAGGTGCAGTTTGTGTGAAGATTAGGAACAATCATTTTTCTGATCTTTGAGATGCAGGTTCTGATCAAAACCTAGAATTTGAGATATAGGTCTTAACCATAATTTTACCACTTTTTTAATAAGTGTGGATGCCCTTAAAGAGTCATTTTGTTGAGGAGAAACAGGGCTTTCATTTCACATCAAAATATATAGATAGATATATACACACACACACACACACACACCTTAATATGAATGAAATCTAAAAAAAAGAAGTGAGAAATTAAGAAAAATTGTTTGTTTCTTAGTTCTGCGTGGCATGTTAACTGTGAATGCCATAATATGGTTAGTTTTTACTGCAATAAAATACACATACAGTATTTGTGTTCAGCGATGTCTAGAGAGTACAACAGTACCCACCATGTACAGGTTTTATGGTGTTTGGGAAAGTTACAGGGTCAAATAATTTAATTATCTGGACTTTGTGCCTGGGTTGTCAGGCAGGTCCCTCAAATTGGAAGTAAAGGGACACTATAGGCACCCAGATCACTTCAGCTCGTTGAAGCAATGTTTTCTTATGGGGAGGACCTAATGTGGCTGAAGCACTCACAGTGCACGGCGGAGTGTCGTTTCATTTGAGAAAACCGTAATCCCTCTAAACAATGGATTTGTTTTGAAGCAGCTAGATGAGAAGTAGAGGGTAAAAAGTGGGAAACAGTCATATGTTGAGGACAACGTATGAGCGAATGATGGGTAAGAGGAAGGGAGAAAAATGGACAAAAAAAAAAAGAAAAAGAAGGAATTACGGAGAGCATAGCCATTCTGCTCAGTCTGAACTGAACTGAAGTAGCTGACCCATGGTGAGCAGTGCAGTGAACTCCATGAGAAGAGTATGGCACCATCAACAGATATTCTAAGGGCATCCCCAGAGAGGCCATATATTGAGAAGAGATAACCAGAGGGAAGAACGGATTTCCAGATGTGGGATAGAGGGGTACGCAGTCTTAGGACCCCACAATTTTCCATAGGGGCCATGTTACGTGAGGAGCTTGCCTCAATTCCGGTTTCACTTTATTGAACAAGGACAGGACGTTAAGGCAGAACATACTGGAGAAATCCACGTGTCATGACACCAAGATATTTTATGGCCCCAGTACATCTTTGGAAAGGGAACATGTCCTTGAGATTCACTGTTAATACCGGATCACAGCTGATAGATTATTTCAGAGATTGTAAAATTAATGTTTAAATTGGATAGTGATCCATATTGTTCAAAACATGCACAATGTCCGCCAGAAAAGTTATTGTGTTTTTCCACTGGGAACAATAGGTCATCTACATAAGCAGAAATCTTTGTCTTTCCCCATGTTCACCAGACGTCTGTAACCTGTGGGTTTGTGCACACTAAATTCAGAAATGATTTAAGGCTTGCGGTTAATGTGTGCAGGCAGGCAGGAGTATAAGGATCACACCCACACTAGCATATTTGGGCCAAGTCCCAAACAAATAACCAGTCTACCCTGCCAAATGCCTTCTCTGCGGAGACGAAGGGATAAGAGTGCATTCGGGCTGTGTGAATCAAGTTAAGAACTTTGGAGAGGTTTTCTCGGGCTGTGGCACAAAGAGGGGTCCTTCGGCAAAGCCACCAGATGCACCAATAGTGTGTTGGAGTCGAAAGTTCCACCTTCCCCAAGGGCATTAAACACATGGAGTAAGTGCAGTTACAAAATGTCAAAGGCTTTAAAATATTTAATGGTCAAGCTATCAGGCCCTGGCTTTTACCTGCCTTGGTGATTTTCAGAGCCATGGAAATTTCCTCTGTGATAGGCTCTTCAGGCCCATCTGTAGCCTCATCCTCTAGCATGGTAGTAAGGTTGCATTGAAAGTAATCAAATTGGAGAGAGTCACCATATATGACTCTGGCGCAGCCAGTAAGAGTGAGGGTAAATTGTATAGCAATGCTCAGTACAGCTGAAAGCCGGCTGCTATATCTGTTGGGTCAGCTGAGCTTTCCTGCCATGAGTGATCTTTTGGACAAAACATTCTGCTCTATGTGCTCTGGCTAGCAGTCTCCCACTTTTTTCCCAAATTCATTTCGATGTTAGTTGTTGATTCGCATTATCATCTAAGGAAGTTTTGTCTTGTGTATAAAGTTGTGTGTTCTGAGCAAGTAGGTCAATTATTTCCTGTGAGTATTTCTTTTTTGTTGTGTGCCATGTTTGAGAAGTATGTCCAGGATTACACGTATGTGTGTTTCCCATAGTTTGTCCGATGTGGTTTCAGGTGTTGCATTAATGAGGAATTACTGTATAAGGTGGGTCGTCGAGGAGGGTTTAGTGGAGTCTCCATATCCATTGTTTATGGTAAAGCATAGAGGATGTAATGGAGATAGTGACAGGTGCATAGTCGGAGCATGACATAGGAGCGATTATTGATGTGTGTAATTCTTCTACATGTCTGTGTTGCATGAATAGATTGTCTATGCACCAGTAGGATTTATGTGGAGAAGAGAAAAACATGTAGTTCTTCAGTGTGGTGGAGCGTGCACCAAGAGTCTGACAAGTAGGATTTGTGAAGGAGGGCACATATGCCTCAGATAACATGTGTGGGAAGGTGTGAGGCCCCAGCAGAGGTATCCAAGTTGGGATTGTGATGGACGACTCGTTAGGGGACCTGAATGTCAACATTAAGTCTCTAATATCCACTTCATAGTATCCCATTCAGTGCAGTATTTAGTGTTTATAGCTTGCAATGTTATAGTCCCCCCCCCCCCCACACTACATTAGTCAAGACAATGTTGGATGAACGGATTTTATGGTCATTTATACACAGACCCCCAGCATGGGGTTCCTATTCAACAGTACAATTATCCTGCCCTGGTGCCGCAGTGTCTGGGAGAAAATTGCATCTCTCACTAAACTAATTATCTGCTGGCCAGTTGTGACCCGGTCAGAGTTCCATAGATTTTGGCTATAAGTCCTGCTATAGTCTTTGCATCTCTCTGGATCCTGTAACGGCCATAAGGAGAGGCGCTCCTGGTTGTTTGCTGTACAGGGCATGTCGGGAGAGCCAGGAGGTTGGGGCAAAGTCTCTGCGAAGGGAACAACAGAGGCATAGGCTGTAGTGATTAGGCTCTTTTTGGAAGTGAGCTGCAGGGTTATTCCTGGTATAGGCATGAGTGACTGGGTGCTCAGTCACAGGGATCTAGGGGGATGCTAAAATACTGCCATGGACGAAGAAGCCCTCACCGAAGGACTTGAGAGTGTCTAGAGTAGAAGCCAAATAAGGTTTCTGTTGTCGGCTTGAAAGACAAGGGGCATAACCAGATTAATTTAAGCATCAATTTTTATTGAAATCTGCACTTTTTGTAAAATGAAATGACACTTCACACAAAGAACTTGAGCAAGGTAAAGTGCATTAGGAGTCCGGAGTACGCCTTTAATACAGGATTTTAGTTAAAGGATGTGGTTCACTCTGCTTAGGTTTCATGAGAAAGTACAAGCAAATAGTAACTTTCAAAACCAAATAAACCTTCTATCCTACACATTTTTTTTTTTTTAGATCATGGGCACTAGACCAAGTACCAAAAGGTCTCATTAAGACATTCAGTTCTGGCATGGTTCTGACCTCACAATTCCTGTAATACTGTGTTTTCTCATACATCCCTTGCCAATCATCCCCTGCTTGAGAGCAAAATAATAAAACACTTACGAGGCAGTGTTGGACAAGTCTAAATGTTTCGGTCCATGGCTTCATGGCAAATTTAAAATGCAGCTTTTCCAATAAGGCGTCATTGGATTGTTGCATTGTAGCTGTTTGAAAGGAAAGATTGCATTATCTTACTTATTTTGCATCACATATTACAACATTTGAACATTATATCACATGCACAGAGATAGAGGTCAATGTAACTTGACTTGCAAGTGGTATCTACTTAAAGTCATGTCCGTGGAATTGATTTACTAGTTCACTCTGGCAAAACTGCCTTTTATACAAATTTGGATTTATTAGATGCCTTAATAAGCTCTGCCATTACATAAAAAAAAAAAAAAAAAACTTTTCCCCCCCTTTGGTTTTCTAGTGTCTCATCTGTCAAATGGCAAGATATAAAATGTCCCATGGCATTGGCAAAAATGAAAAAAGTGGTGTAACACATTTCCCGCCTTACATCAACACGTGTCTGAAAATGAAGCCAATGAAATGCCAGGTATGAACATGATATACAGTCCAACCACTCCCACCACCCAGTGTGTGCATGTGTGGGGGTGATGAGACAAAATGTTGGATAGACCCCAGTGAATGACCCCTACATCTGGCCACTTAAAATTATAACTAAATTGGAAAAATATATATACTTACATTGGTTTAAAGATCAATAAAGTTTTCTGACTTTTCTTAAAGCAATCACACTCCAAAGTGCATAGACAATTTTGCTGCTAGTAACACAACAAAGTTAGAAAAAATGCCATCTAGTGGAAGTGGGTGTGACGGAGCTCCCGTACTTGGAGTACCTCCACCAGTGGTATTTTGGAGGTCTCCCCAATTGTTAGAAAACCATCCAACTGCTGCCCCCAGATGTGATGGAGCTCCCGTACTCCGACCGAGTAACTCTGCCAGGTTTGCTTCTTCACTGCCACAGGGGACTCTGGAGCACTTCAAACCTAGTCACTGGAGATTGACCAGGGTCTCTCTGGAACTCTTCCACCCGACCAGGCCACAGCTCTCTTACCAGACATGTACGGTCCCCTCTGGCTTTCCCTCTTCAGCTTCTTTACCAGGCAGATATTCACAGCTCTGCCTGTAATGTGATTAGCTCCTGTCTTTGCAAAAGCCCTTGTGGCTCTCAGGCATAGCTCTCTTTTTGACTTGTCCCAAGCTACAGGGATCAGTCAGCCAGCCAACAGTTCCAAAGACTCCCTGAACAGATCCACACCATTCCGAAAGCAACCAACATAACATTCTTTATTTCTTTGCCTTTGGGGACTAGTCCTTAAGCATGTGGCGACAAACATTTAAAATCACATCACCAAGATTCAGCTCAGTTATTTGGTAGAAATTAATTAGCAACACTTGTATTCCATAACTATATTCACAAGTAGGACCACTAGATCTCTACAAATTACAATAGGAGAACATTGAAGTAACCTACAAAAAGGTTAGGCATGGTTTATTTTTGTTCTATCCCTGTATTGCCACAAGGCTGGGGAATCCTTATAAGATTTACTGCAGCCCCTTTTTTGTAGTATATAGTGAGCACCCAAATTTTGTATCTGTTTTATAACCTAAACAGACAGACACTCACAGACAGACACACCCACAAATTATTTGTTTTATTTTCAGTTAGTCCACCCTGTCTCCCTACCTTTGGGAGAGCTGGAGTGGGTCATTTTCATGGTGCCCAATGTGGCTGCTATGCTGTGATCTTCAAGCTCCTTGTACTTAGTTGCCTCACTTGCCGGTTAGTGATGCCAGGGCCAAAGTGATGTCATATCCCGGCTTCCAACATCACTGCAGGAGGGTGTGGGCTGCCGTAAGGTGGCCAGTGATGAACAGGCTAGAACACCCAGGAGCTAGGACAACATTCCCAGTAGACATGGCAACCTGGGATTTGTTGTGCGCTGATATATTGTCATACATAGTCCAAAAGGTCATAAATATATACATCTGCACACAAAATTACCTCAAAGAAGTGACAAGACAAACCGAACACACACCGTTTGGAAAACATGTCAAAGCCTTTTTCTGAAATATGCAATTAGTTTATTGTGCACGTGGATTGAATGTGGTATTAGTTTCACCATGTTCTAGTTACAGTGCTTATTTGTTCTTTAATTGGTGCAATTAGTTGGTAAGAAATCATTTGTGAAGGATGCTTGTACATGCCATGGTGCCAGGAGTTAAATTAGATCCATTGCAGGTTTAGGGATGAACCAAAACTATACATTTTGGATAATATTTTTGTAACCCACAGATGAACAGCTTTTCTGAGCCCGTCACTAGACTGCATAAAAAGTTACTTCTGTCACGTAAGACTGTGGTAGCTCCATCAGGTATGGCCTGAAGAGGGGTTTAAAAAAAAAAGAAAAGAAAAAAAGTGTATGATATATATTCCTACACATACCACCTAGCAGAAAATCCCCTGTATTACTTGTACCTGCCTCATTCAACACAATTATACACCAACATGTATCAGAATATGAAATTGGAGATGAATGGGGTTTTCCGATGACCACGTTAAAGTCCTCATCATACCATTAGCCACATTTTACAGACATGTCATCAAAAGGATTTCCCTTATCCATTGTTCAAGAGAGGTCACAAAAAATATACTATTGTGCTTATTATTCACAAGCACAGATAATTATTAGTAGACATAGCTCAATCTGGTATTTGTTCAAATGCTCTTAGAATTAAACTCTTGTTGCTGAACATACCCAATCAACTAGTTATTGTGGAAATGGATCTGAAACACTGCTTTGTAGTCAGAATGCAAAGTGAGTTTAAAATTTAAGGCCAAAATAGCCAAACTGGAATAAGTTAACTATGCTTTCATTTCAGCTTCTCTAGCCTCACTTTTTAAGTTTTCTTTGACTCCATTTTGAATTCTTACTTTAGTAAATAACCCTGTAAATTTGGCATCCTACAGTAAGGTCATGTGGATAATTCTGCGAGTGGTGGGCACAAAGTATTCTACATGGATTGCTCTAATCTAGACATGTGCAATTCACTTTGTTTCGAATGTACATTCGTACGATTTTCATGCAATTTGGATGATTACGAATGTCCGAAGTGCCAAAGTGCCGAAGCGCCTAAGCGATTTGGATTTCTGAAAACTGTCAAAACAAGAGAGAGGGAGGGAAGATT